ATCTTAGACTTAAATCTTAGAACCCCATTTACAACATTTCGGGTGGTGCCCTGGTAAACTCAGTACTCCCTGCGCCCACGCCTATGCATTGGATGAAGGATCCATATGGATGGTATTCTTGACCTACATTAATAATTTTAAAAGTAATCTATTAGTTAAAACAATATATGATATAAATGTGTTATAGAAAATGTCCATAAAAATAATAGATTTTTGAAATAACAGAAATACGTAAATATCTAAAATACCTATTCGTTTTAATAAACAAATTCAATCTTTAAACAGTTATTGATATAATTGTTTTTAATAAAATACATATATTTTTATTGAATATTTATAAATAATGCGTAATCCAATTTTCAAGAATAAATGCATGCAGTAAAATTAAAATGTATTAAAATTGCGTATTAAAAGATTAACTCCAATGCATGCGTCTGGAGACACATGGCTAACACTACGAGACTAGAATTAAACACGTACTACACTGTTGTATCAAGTCCTCTGTTTGGAACGATTGTGCTGTGTATTTTCAAATTTTAACCATTTAACCATTTATCATCATATGTACAATGTTCGAAACTAAAAAACAAAAATTAATCTTAAAACTAATTCTTTGACAAGAAGTAGATGAAGATCAAGGTATCATAAAGTATGTAATGTGAAATGAAAAAAATGAAGTGCATAAAATGTTTTTAGCCAAGAAAATTGAAGAATTTTTCAGTGTCCTGTTAGTAAAACATTTATGGCAATATAAAACCAAATTCAGGGTTTTTTTTTAGATTGAACTGGGATAAATTTAAATATAAATCAAACTATTTATTTCGAGATTTTTATCAAGCTTCATATGCTTGGGTCACGTGGCTTATGCGTCATGACCGTTCTCGGAGCGGCTGTCGCCGCGTTCTTAGGAAGCGGTTACATTTAAAAACAAGCAAAGTAGTACCTGCGTAGCCAAAATTAAATGCCACATCAACCGCGAGTTTCTAGACGTGTGTATATGAATTACACCAGTGGTTCCCAAACTTTTTTTTCAGCGGAGCCTTTTTTTCGGACCCAATCTACCCACGGTGCCCTGGTGTGAACTACATTACAGAACAAAAAAAAACCTATTGATAACCAATTTTATTAAAATTTAACTTAATTATAAATTAACGAATTTTTAAACTTAAAAAATAAATAAATAAAAATTATTGTTATTATGATTATAATCATTATATAAAATTATTATAAAGTTAAAATGAGAATATCCGAATATACAATAGAAATTATTACATTATTTGCTATAAAGTTTTTACGAAAACCATAAGGAAATACAATTTTATACATTTTAAACTATTTGTTATGAACCGTACGTAGACCGCGGTGCCACCCTTAGAAAATGGTCGTGGTGTCCCTAGGGCACCGTGGTGCACAGTTTGGGAATCAATGGATTACACCTTAAATAAGTTCAATTTTTGCTTTAGAAATGAGTTAAATATTTACTATTCCTGTGTCCCGAAAATGAATTAAAAGTATAATCAGTAAATTATATGAGTTTATGGACGGGGATGATTGTTAACTATATTTTATATAAGTTTAGACTGACTAGATAATGCGTTTTGCATATTTAAATCCACGCAGTTTTAACTACTAATATGAAATCACATAGAACAATAGAACTATTCAAATTTATTAAACGTTTTGGCTAAAACAAGTACATTTCCTTAACATAATTTGTGATAGTTGTAGATAAAACAACTAAAGCAATTATTATCTAAATGAAAATTATCTGGTATACATACATCTTAGACAGGATTCACTGTGTAAGTGGACGTTATCATTTTGGCATATATTATCAATTACAGTTGGCAATTACAAAATGTTAATAATTATGGATCTGCATACAATATATATTTTATCGAGTTTATGTTTTAAAATATGAACATCAATTAAATCCATTGACTTCTAGATATATAAATAAATAAATTGTTATAATTAAATAAGCATTCAACTTGTTTGAAATTTGGAAAAAATATAACTGTTTTATTCAAATTTTGAAATAAATATATTTATAAATACTATGAAATATTGTATATGTTATACTCGTATTATTATGTATACATCCATAATTATAAATTATAAAAGCTATAAACTGAATTTAACGAATTATGTAGAAGCATTTTAAACGTTTCTGCAATCTGGATTAACTTTAGATAAAGCGGAAAAATCATCGATTAAGCAAATTAATGACAATATTAATGCAAAAATCTTTGAATTTTGTTTAAATAATTATTTTTCAATTTTTACAACATAATTTAAGTATTTTTTTAATTTTTAATATTTTTCAAATTGTGGTTTTGTGAATTTTAATTATTATTTATCTATATTAAAATGTAATTAACATTTATTTTCACTATATCTTCATTTTACTAACAACTAGTACTTATATGAATATTTCCTCTATACTAGCTTAATATATCATATATGTACAATTATTTTCATGCATAACTTTTCTGTGAAACGACCAAAGGTGAAAGAAACATAAGCCACAATCTTATTAAAAATTAAAGGCATGGAACAATATTGATCAGTAGTTCTATTTTTGCTAGATAAAATGCTTGAACATTGCACATTGTTTGATTGTACACTTTATTCTATATAGTATAATATGACAGAAACTTCAATTGATTTTTCTAACGCCTGTAACCTGTTATTTTTTTTTATAAAATTTTGAATTATTTCAGCTTATAAGTAATAAATGTTTAACGTTAAATGAGTTTATACGTATTCTCATAATAAAATCATTAAAATGTTAATTTTTTGACTAATATAAAATAAATATGAAAGAAGAACGTCATATTTATATATTAAACATATTTATTTTATATTAGTCAAAAAATTAACATTTTAATGATTTTATAATGAGAATACGTATAAACTCATTTAAAGTTAAACATTTGTTACTTAAGTTGAAATAATTCAAAATTTTATATTTTGTTATTTTTATATATTTTACTTTATTTTCAAGAGTTTAGACATGTGCAAACATTTAAAAATCATACATCATTCAGACATGATTGATTGACATAAAAGCTACTTCATATCAAATAAGGGGATGCTCAAAATTAAGAAAAAAATATATATTTTATACTTATAACAATAACCGAACAATATATATATTACCCAATTCTATTTGCGTCAACTTAAGTGTTATACTTATTGATAAAAATTAGCATCCTTAAATCACCCGAGAAATATTCCTTTTTATCAGTAGATATAGAAAAAACTTGTTTATGTTTATGAGAGTATAAATGTATTCTAAATATATATACATTTGAATTTAATTATATTTTACATTTAAGCTTACCCTTAAGCAACCGTTTTTTGCTTAATTTCTCATATCTAACCCTTCTGACTCTACTCACAAGTTCCATTATTAATTACTATTTATCACGATTTTAAATAAAAATTAAAATATATTAATAATAATTAATTAGTACATCAAAAAATATAATATTTTTTAACATAATATAATATATTTTAATATAATTTAATTCTTATGTTATATTTTATTAGACAATGGATATTAATTGAAAAGTAATTTTTATGGGTGCATTCCCAAACTTTACTATCCTCTGTGTATAAGTATAGTTTTTATTATTTCTAAATATGTATAAAAATATGATGAATTAAAAAAGAAACAACTCTACAAATATGAATGACTCTAATTTTATTTTGCTCACACCGTATATTATATTCTTCACTTAATCTGACGGATAATTGGTTACGCAATCACGTGGCTATTCGATTAGACATAAGATTAATTTTAAAACAAGCAGACCGTATACGACTACGAACTAGCAAAGTAAAAACAAACAACGAATAATTCAACAGTGTTCGAACTTTTAGAAAGGTTAATCACTGAAAAAAATATTGAATAAAAGATTTTCAACTATCGTCTATCAGTGGTTATTAATAATTATCCATAGTGACTATAGTAGTTTGTCGATTCGGAAATTATTATATTGACAAGGAATCAAAATATATTATATTTTGATAAATACGATTATAAATTATGACTATTATAATTATTGAGATATATTCTACCAGAATCAAAGTGACAGGGGTATAGTAAAAAGCACTCGTACTAAATACCTATTATTTTGTTTATACAAAATACAACTCATGTTAAATTTATCTTCAAACAAGTAATATGCAATAACTTTTGGTACCAAAATAAAAACGAAATAATCCTTTCACCGGTATATTATAGTGCAGAGTAACTTATTATACACGATATTGTTATCAATCTTATAACTGCTCAATACACGATTAAATATGCAAAGGATAGGTTCATTACAAAGTATAACAGAGTATAACCCGTATAATGTCGGTCAATTTGTTTTGAAAAGATTTACTTGAACTTTTTATTTTTATAAAATTGTGATTCTTACCGTTTTCATTGCAATGTAATTATTGAACATGGAATTCGAATCAAAATACAATACGAGCGCAACGTTTCGAACATTCGTTCATAAAATAAAATGCACAGCACAGAATGTTAATTTACTATTTAGCCAATTCTGTGGCAACAGTATTCATCGTATTCGTGAGCGTTCAAATAAATAATAATAATTTATCACGCAATTAGCGTTTTACGATGCACTTTGGTCGCAATAACACATTACCCACACCATAAATTATCAGGTACGACGGACGACAATATGCGAAGCCCGTCTAATCCGTCGCAAGAGACCAGACAAACGCGGCATAAAGAATCATGGAGAAAACACTCAGTGACCGGTACAGCGGTAGACGTGGTCCCGCAGCCTTAGCGCGTGACAGGTATTTCGGGTGTCTCCGGTCCAATTACAAACGATAAAACCTCATCGATGACCGAGGGAACGACCAGCATTTACCTATATTGACGCGGCTACAGTTGTATACAGGTTAGTTTGTTTCGTACGCGTGATCGGGTACGATTAAAACGATTTTTAAAGTTTAAACAACAATGCGCTTACTAAATGATGGCGACGACGACGACGAGCAGCAGTCCAGTCCTCGTTCGGGCCACGGTGGCGGCGGCGGTGGCGGCGTCGCTGAAAACGCCTTTGTCCTCCCAGCGAGCGCACTATGTATGTATCTTATTGTTTACCGTCGAAAACAGTATCGCGGGAGGAGGGGATCTCAATCGGTTAAGAAAAATAATTAGTATCGGCGGTATGATTGTCGTTGCGGCTACGGGGACAAATCGAAATACACGATAAACGCACGGAAATAGTGTCGTTGACGTGCTGTTTGTCCTCGTGTACAGGCGCGAAAAACGATTGACGAACGATGATGATGCCCCAAACGGTGTGTACGCTACGCGCGTATTACGTTCCGTGCGTGCAATGCGTCGTTATAACGCGTTACGCGCGCGCGGCAAATGTTTTCAAACTGACCCGTGCGGATCGGCAAAGGACACGTCAAGAATACACTTTTAAACGGACCGGCGGGTGTGCGTGTACGTGTGTGCGCGCGCGCTTCTGTATGCGTGTGCGTGTTTGTGCGTGTGTGTGTGTGTGTGTGTAAGCGCGCGCTCAATGTACGATGCGACGACGACGTATTATTTAACTGTTAATATAATATTATTGTGTTTAAATGTTTTTTTTTTTTTCGCTCTATATAATAATAATATGTACGGCGTTTATTCTCTACGTATACATGTATGTATATGTATATTTATCTTGTTCACCGTCATCCTACTCGCTCGTTTCTCGATTAACAATAATAATAGTAATGTATCATCGCAGTGTAGCCCAACGTGCGTGTGCGATATAACTTAACGGTGGCCGAATCACTATTTTTACAATGAACCCAAAGCCGACGGACGGCGATACGCGTGTCCGTTAGAAATATCTACCGTACAAGCGCGCACATACCTATCCCAATCGTGCTCGCGGAATACCGATGACGCAGATGCCGCAGCGCATCGTTCGCTTTCGTTTTGGTCCTTGTCTTGTGCAAGTTGCATCGGTCGCTCACGTTATAATAATAATACTATCGTCGTCAATATTGTAGAGATAACATTCAAATTGATATGAAAACCGAATGTAATAAGGAAGCAACTGTGTCAGCGGTCACCCGGCGCGTGGAGCAGTTGGTTTTAGTGTTTGGATTTTGATTTGAGAAAAAAATATATTTTCATTTTTCGGTGTGTGTAAAGAGTTTTAAATAGTTTAAGCATAAAATTACAACTGCAACTGAAGCAGCCACTCTGTAGTGCGAGGTCTTAAGACAAATAAACACTAGTTGGATTTAGAATAATCAGTGGAGGTGTCTGTAAATATTAATATACTAAATATTTTAATCGCAAAACGATAATACTACTTAATTAAACTTAAAGTATAGTTGTTTAATAAGTATTTGTTGTAATCTTAAATAATTACAATCAAGTTACATCATATGATTAGGTGTTTTCATCAGTGTGATGAAAATTGTAATCGATTTAATAGATATTACACGTTTTGTAGATTTTTATCTTCGCTTAGTTTAAAATCAAAAATATTAATTTGTAATTGCAAATATGATAATTTATAACGGTTTACTGTGTATAAATCTAACATTTATAAATATATTCGTAATATCAGCGATTTTTACAAATTGACAAGGAAGGGAAAACGGGGTAGTTTCGTACTAGAGGCAAAACCGTATGATAACGTCTTCGGAACACTGAGTCAAGATAAAAAAAAGAAAAAATAGTTTGTTTCTCCATAAACATATGTTTATTGTGTTTATTGTTATCAATAAATATTAATCTCATTTTTGAACAATTTCCGCTCAAATTCTTACTATCAAAAAATATGTATAATTACTATTTTTTTCATGTATTATCATTAAACATTTTTTAAAATCATTTTATCTGATGTAAAAAAAAACTTTTTTGGGTTACGCATCCCCAAAACAAAAAAAAATTATTCACGCCTCCCAATAACTTTTTTTTATTAATTTAATATAAGCAAATTGTTGTTGATCGAATAATAAATATATGTCAGTGCAATGTACAATATAAATATTTGCCTTCCATCCCATAATTTGGGAACCACTGGAATAGATGATAAATTATTTTCAATCATTACGTTTTGTTAATTTCGAATTGGTAATTTTTATTAAATACTTTATACAACATTAAAATTTAAATTTAAAGACTAAAGAACGTATAATAAAATGTCTGTATTTACATGTAAATGTTTTTAGTCTTTACCGAAAAATGAATTTTGATGAAAAAAAGTTTACTAGTGAGATTATGATATCTCCGCTGAATGTCATATAGTCCTTCGAACCTCAATCTCAAGTATACAGTTACCGATTAAAATTAACAAAACAATTTGTAGTAGGTATATTTATTCGATATTCATCAATTGTGCCAATTATGGGACATCACCTATATAATGTACATCTATTGCGCCAATCTAAAATAGGTATACTTAAAAAGATGTATATAAATTGCACTGGAGAATTTTTAACTGCTTAACTGAAAAAAACATATAGGTATAAGTTATTTACAAGACAATTTATAATGTTATTACGTATTATGTACAACACGTAGAATTATACTGAATATACAATACATTTATTTTACAAACATGATATTTGTTAACATTTTGTTTTATCTTCAAACAATAAAATAATATGATAAAAATAATGGTTTTCAAACGTACTGACGAGCACAACATAGACCCATTTATTGCCAAATGTACAATAGTGCTCATCTGTAAAGTTGTAAGTTTTAAAATCAGTAGTGATAGTATTATACATGTTTATATAGTCTATTGTAAGCTAGGTCCGTGTTTTTTTTCAGGTAAATATAGTTTAGATGTAAACTTGGCCCGGATAAAAATTTACATATAATTTTCTTATAATATTTTTGAGAACCATTTAGCATTACCCAGAGGACACCACGAGGAGGCGTTGTATATATTCTTTTTAAGATAATGAATATTACTTGTAGATCTTGCACGTCAGGTACATTGTCAGGTAGTGCACTACAAAAAATTTTATTTGGCCTACTGCAGATATCCTCAATTCCTTTGCGTTTGACCACGGTGGTAACACATTGTCCTTGTAGTACTTGGTCCCTGATAGGTTCATGCAGATGATCATCATTTTTCTCCGTAATATCATTATTTATTTCAAACGTTTTTAAAAAAAAGCTGTACATTTACGATTTATACATCGCCATTTTATTTCATCTGAAGCCAAAGGACGAGTTAATTTCGAATACTTAAAATGTTCTAAAACTAAAAGTGGTTGTCCATGTTGGGATTCAACTATGCGTGCCATCGTCACGGTTGTAAAAACACGTCGTTTCAAAAGTCCAATACGAAAACGAAATTAGTTGTCTCAATGTTTAAATATATATTTTAAGATTAGTTAACAACAAATTGTTCACGATAAGATATAGATACCTACGTTATTTATTATTTGCAGATTAAATTATTTCGTGCTTATTATATTTTATTGGTAAATATTATCGGGCCGAGCAGTGCCGGCCCTAGAGGAAGGCAAGCCGTGCGATCGCACCGGGCCCCGCGCTTGCATGGGACCCCACAAATTGTGTATTACGAATATCATTTTATCTATAAGTAAAAATAATAATAGTCCCAGTACGCAAATCGCAACATCGTCTTGTGGTTTTTTCAGGAAACGCGTTGTATCGACGAAAATTTAGACGGTACCAATTACGCATAGCTTTGAAGTATTGCACGCGCATGCACTTGTAAAATTGTTTATCGTCGACGACGGTTCGAAATATCATTTAGTTATACAAAATAACGTGAACAAACGTAGATTTTTATAAACACTTAATAAATTAATAAATTAATATATATGTGGGGCCCCGCAAAATTCTGCACTGGGCTTCGAAAACCGTCGAGTCGGTACTGGGGCCGAGATTACATCATATTCTTTTATAGTTTATTTATATCTATATATAGTTTCAATTATCTTACCTACATCATATCAAGAGAGATACTTTAAAAGTTTAACTTTTATATATGAAGCCTATATGTTAATTTGTAAGTGATCATAACTTATTTTGATACAGAAATTTTAAAACAAATTTGCGTTGCATTGCAATACTTTACATTTGTTTTCATGTAAAATTTTGAAACTAAAAACATATTTTATTCTTATGCGATAATAGTGGTGTTCAAACAAAAATATCAAATAAAATTTTTTTTTTTTACGTTTAACTATTTAAATTCTATAAAATGAATATTGTACATAAATGTAATCAAATCAGATTTATATACGTTTGTTACAATTATTTTATACTAAATATGTGTCTTGAATGTATATACAATTAATATTTTAATAGTTAAAATTTTAGGTATTAATAATACATTATTTTATCATTATTATTATTATTTATTTAATAATAACAATATTAATTAAAATATTAATCATTGATAATCACTTTTTAAGTTAATTTTTTATTTGTAATGCAATAAATAGAATGACCTAGACTTTAAATTTGTATTTAGATTTACTCGTAAAATACATTTTGATTATTATTTATTAATTTATGATAATTAAAAACCATAATATCACATGAAAAAAGTGTAAAATAATTAATAATAAATAACAACATAATTATTTTTTATTATATTATAATAAGAAATATTTGTATCCTCAATTAGTAATATTTCAAGCATAACAAAGTTTAAAAATATATGAATGATCTCCATAGATACGTAGTAGGTATTGTCAATGATATGTACTTAAAACAAAATAAATAATTTTTTACCTGCCTGCATAGGATCTTACAAATCATTTGTGCACCACCTTATGTAAACGTCTATATTTTTGTTTATAGTGACGCCACTACCAGTGCCGCAACTACAAAATAGGAGGTCCGTGTGCGGTAATTATATTAGGCCCCTTCCTAGGATTTATTTTTGTTGTACATCTTATATATAAGGATCGATTTTTTTAGGTTTTAAAACACGTTTCACATCAGTTAGTATATAATATATGTATATATATCAAATTAAATACCTACCTACAGCTGTTGTATATTATACTTCACTATCTACATATTTATGTAGTAAATTTATTTGAGTAGTCTAAGTAGGTATGTTGTATACCTACTCAAATACTCAATGGACTCATTGTTAAATAAATATTAAATTACTCTAAAATATTATAACATCCTTACCTGAATTTTAAAAAAAGTTTCTTTTTATTGTAAAATAATAATATAATATTATTAAATAATTGTGTGTTTGTAAAGTATAATTTATTTTAGACTGGGACTAGGGGGCCTCCCGAATGTATGTAAGTCTTGGGGCCCGTGTGCGCGGCACACTCTGCACACCCGGTTTTTACGGCACTGGTCACTCAATAAATGCTAGTTTAACGCTTTGATTCATGGTATCATATGATATCATGGTATTTGAGGTACATATAGTATGTTTTTACTTTCAGATAAACAAACGTTTTTAATATTTCTGGAATATTAAAATATCCCATGGTGTCTAACGAAGGGTTAAGTTATATGTTTAATATCAGTGTACCTTGGTACCTACTAAATTTACTGAACTATTGTAACGTAGTGTATATAACATAGCATACAGAATGAAATCATAAAATCTTGTAGTTTAATACGTTATTATGTTAAGTAAAAATTATTTCTTAAATTTTCAAAGAAAAAAATGTAAATAATATTGAATTTAATATGGTGTAGGTATTGTTAATACTTAAGTCACTACATTGTGACGTAAATCCATACAAACATAATCTTTCTTCAAGGGCAAATCATTAATAAAAAGGTTTTGTATCCCGACATTTATTTAATTATACATTTTATATTACAGGGGGTCTTCAATCTTTTTTTAGGAAGAGATCGCTTTTTATCTTGCATGTACTTTGATTGTTGCTTCCTTATTAATAAAAATTATAATATTATTTTATTTTTTATCAATACATATTATGGATTTCATTTAAAACAAAAAGTGTTATCATTGAATAACTATATGTATGAATGAATTATGGAAATTAGATGGATTACTGAATTTGATATTATTAATCAAATATTTGATATAGTTTTCAATCAATATTTTTTGAAGTTCGTTGAAGAATATTGAGATAACTCATAATTCAAATTTTTTTTTGATTCAGGCTCAAAATTTACTAGTAAAATTTTTGGTAATATTTGAATTAGGTGAATCCTTTATATTTGTGGTTTTTTTTTTTTTTTAACTAATGCCGGATTCACTTAGAACCGACTTTTGTGTAATTCTTTTTTAATACCTGTCTGTGTTTGAAAGTTACGTTTGTGTTTTATTTGATTTTTCACTAAGTATGGACACTAAGTATTGTTATAAAATGGTCCACATTAAAAAAAAATTGAAATGTGTATCTCACATATAATCGATTCCTTAAATACGGATTCAAGGAGAAGGGTGATTGCCCCCTTCGACCCTCCTTAAATACGCTCCTGAATTGAGCTAGCTGCTTTTAATAAATCTATTATATTAATTTGTATGCATGAAATTTATAAAAATACTTTAAAAAAGAAACTTGGTTCTAAGTTAATAGCTCAATGCATTTTAATCTGAATAGTGAATGTCACATTGTTCTCATGGTTAGTGTGTTTGTAGTATATTTGGAAAGTATTGTTATTCGTCAATATATGATTTTTCCCATCCATGCATTTATATACATATCAATTGGATATTTTAGAATAGTTGATTAATTTCTTTGATTGAAAAAATAAATGTCAAAATATAAAAGGAATGGTAAATCTATGTCCACCTGCGCACATGATTTCAGTATGTAACTTGCAAATTTAAATATAATTCATAACTTTTATTTTACTTTCTATTAATTATTAGGTAACAATGATTTTTTTATTATTATTATATTTTGTAATTCTATATCTTGTAATTTAACTCAAAACTGCTTTTAATATTTCTGGTAAGATTTTTATTGCGGTCGTCTTCAAAGCGTTCGTGAAATGTATCCACCACTCAATCTATGACTATTTTTAAATGTAACTAAAGTCCGGTTTAGAATAAGTTTAATATAGTAAAATAGTAATATAGTAAAATCTAAGTTGATATGCGAAGCAAATAAAATCAAACCAAAAATGTTTATTTGACACAAGGATAGCCAAAGGTATAACCAACCCTGTTCTGTACTATTAACTGGGTATTTGTTAATAAATGTTAAAAGTTAATCATAAAATGTATACAGGGTGTTTCTGAAATGGTTGAGGAAACTAGTAGACGCGCACACTCTGGAGTGGCCAAGTGAAGAATCTTTTGAAATTTTTTTTTCTATCTTCAACACTTGGGTTTTATTTAATTAACTTTACAACATTATTTTGAATCTAAAAATTATTACTTGTAAGAGATTTCTTGCAAATTTCTCATGTGAATCGATACGTAACATTGATTGTGGGCTTGTTTCACACTTGAATAATCAGGATCAAAAGATGTGGTGTGGTATATCGATTTGTAAGAGAACTCTGCAAGGTAAACAAAGTTGACGTTTATTTGTTGTTACTTTACATATCTGATTAATTATCACGGTTTTCGTTGAATTTAAAATAAATTTTGTTTAATTATGATTATTTTACAATTATCTCTCGATGGTTCGCAATCTTCTGCGGAACGTACCATGTACATACACAAAAAAATTATGTTCTTCAACATAATACATCATTACTGTTAGGTTAATTGTTGAAAAAATTTTAATCACTACTTAAAAATAAACGTTTTCAAACAAAAAACAGCAATTTGTTACTGATTTATTTATTAAAAATTAAGAGTATATGCATTATTAAATGGCATATAGCATTACAACATTTATAGTTTTCATAATATAATTATTTAATTTTTCTTTCAAGCAAATTACCTGTGAAATTCGCTTATTTATTGATGCTACACCAACCTATTCCGCAGATAATTGAGAGAACACTGTATGTAGAGTTATGTTTGTTATGTATATACATTTAATTTTTTTAGAAGTATTAATGTTATAAATTCAAAGTTCAAAAAATATATTATTTTCTTTAATTGAAAGATGTTAGTTTATAATTACATTAATATATCTGTGCATATATATATGTATAATAAATGATCTAAATATTAAACACACAAATAATACCATGTATAAACATTAACACTATATTATTTGTAAGTAATAATAATAATAATATATTTCAAATATTTAATTTGAATATGAAATAAAAATATGTTATAATGACTAGGATAGGTAGGACTAGTTTTAATAAATCATTTTAATATATCATAAAACTTAGAGCCAAGTGTAATCAACAAAATTTTGATTCATTTTATTTATTGTTTATGGTGTAAAATGATAATTTAAAAATTTTAGATTTAATAGAACTCAATGTTAAAATATATTAAAAATGCCCTTCTATTTTATAGATATACCTACATTTTAAAATTAAGATTATTCACTTTTATTAAAAATATTTATGTAACATTTCCAATTATAACATTTATTCAATCTTGCAATTTACTCATGACAAACTATAACTGACAAAATATAAACACAGTCAGTGGCAAGTCAGATCATAAATAAGTAATATATAAGCTTGTAAAAATCAAAAGTATTAAAAAAAAAAAAACATATGTACAGCAGTTAAAATAACTTGGCATATGAGCTATATATTATGGTAAATAATAAAAAATAACTAAAAATTTGTATTGGAATGTATTAATTTTTTTTTTTTTAATATATATACGTAGTGGTTTTCATAGATTTTAAAATTGATAGTTATAACAAAAATTTATTTAAATTTAATTATAATAGCAGTAAAGATACCAGTATGGATCAATTAGTTACATAATAACTATTAAATTCCAAAACGAATTTTAATTCTATTTTCTCTTTGAGTAATTATAAAATAGCAAGAGCATTTTAAAATTAAATATATAATTGCATTACATTTCATTATTTAAAGGTAAGTTGAATTCAGCTTTCTCGATTTGATAAATTACCAATACCAATGTAGGTTTATAAAATTTACCATGTAATAATTCAAAATATTCAATTTTATTTTTTAATCTACTTAAATTTAAAATTCGTTTTGGAATATATTACAATGCTTCTAAGGTTAGCTCTTTATTTAAAAATTCAATTGCGTATGGGTATTTTTCATGGGTAAACACAATTACAAACAAATATATATAAAAACAAAATAATTAAGTACATGGAAGTAATAATATGTAATAAACAATGATTAAAAAAAAAAAAAAAGGTTAGACCAAAATATAACATAAAGGACAACGTATCTTATAAAATAATTATTATGCATATATATTTATTCATACATTATACACATATGTATAAATAAACATTTAACATTCAACATACAATCTAATTTCAATATCATTTACACATAATACATATATTATAATATTATCATTCATGATTAACAAAAATGTGAGTGCTAAACAATAAATAATTAATTTTATCAGTTTAGTTAGTATTTGGTTTTATTTTTTTGAAATATTAACACTATATTCTTAGTCAATTTTCTATATACATATATAAAAAACAAAAAAAAAAAAAAACAATAATATATAGCGATAATAATATTTTTCAAAAAAATTAAACTCATTTTGCCTTCTGTTATAAAGATCAAAGGGTATAAATTAAATATTTAAATTTGGTAAGATGAGAAAGAAATAAAACTTCACAGATTTCACTGTGATGATTCTTCAACTGTGTTTTTCATATACATCAGACATTGATTAATAACCGTTTGAGCTAAACTATGTATAACACCAGGTTGATTATTGAGATTAAGGGCACTTTGTTCTTCAAGTAGTTCGCTCATGATCCTTAACCCACCTTCAGCTATCACAATCGAACAGTACTTTTCAGCTGAAATTAATATATAAGACTAATTCTTTTAAAAATACTCAAATTTGATTATCATTTGTTGCCATTAAAATTAAAGTTACAGTCTATGTTGATTAAACAAAAAATTTAAGGCTATTTAAACCCTAAAAATTAAATAAATTAAACTTTAATTTAGACTATTTTAACAAATAAATATTAAGTTTCATTACATTTTTAATTTAAATTAATCAAACACATAAAAATGTTAGAAACTTAATAATAATATACTTACGATATACTTTGGTAAGATTTGCTAAAGCCCATGCTGCCCAATGCGCACACTGAGGAGTGTGCCGAACTTGAGCAAGTTGCAATATTGGCTCAAAGGAACGATAATTAATATTTCGATCAGCATCTAAATTCCAATTTTGTATGGCTTTAGTCATACGATCTAAAACTTTATACCTAGATGGTGTTTTAATAGTCCATGCTTTATGACCATCTGACGCCAAATGTGCAATAACTCCAGCAGCATTATAACTAACCTATTTAAAAGATAATAAATTATATTTCACATTCTACAAGTAAATATTGTAATAAATACCTCTATTCCATCTTGCGTTGAAAATAAAAGTTCAGAAAATTCACTAATGAAATTAGGTTGCATGAGCCTAGGTCGAAGTTCTTTTACTTCAGCAACATTTCCTAATAATCCCATCATATTGCGCATCAGTTCATTTTTATCAGGAAAAGACTAAATCAAACAAAGTTCTTGGTTATAATAATATTATACTAAGATATTTTAAAAATGTCTACCTTTAAACATCCAATGAAATATTTCATTCCATACCCATCAAGGAACCTTCTACAATTTTTTGGAGCTTCATCTGTGACATTCCACATTGTTGACCAAGCTACTTCAAGAACATCATCACATACTCTTCGATGAAGACGATCTTTTATTATTGCCATCATTTTCTATACATAAAATATATTATAATGTATAATATTAAACAAATTAATTACATAATTGTTATTACTTTAATTGCACCAGCATCACCAAGTTCATTTTTTTGTTTATTATTTACTTGACATGCAACAGAGTTAAGTAAATAAATACCAATTCTTTGAACAAATCCTTCATGGTCACTAGTAGATACAATATGAAGCAACATTTGTACTAAACGTTTGAATTCAAACATCTAAAATTCAAATAAAAATGTTATTATTATTCACAGCAAATAATTATTTACTTAGGAAAAATTCTTGTTTCTGAATAGCATATAGTCTTTATTTGTATTATAGTCATAATTAATTTTAATAAAATTAATATCAAGGTTCTTTCATATTATAATCCTATTCATAACTTAAGTAGTCAATTTATTGCTCTATAATATTTTTTTAGGTTAAAGGATTAACCTTATTAAGCCTGGTAACATAAGTTATAAAATATAATGTATAATTTAAGTTTAGATTTTATTATGAAAGTGTTAAATGTGAAAGTGTTATCTATAAGAGTATATTTGCTTCCCTTTCTTATATTTCAAACTAGAATTAAAAAAAAAAAAACCTCTAATATCATTAAAAAAATATTAATGTTTTTTTTTTCAAATTTGTAGAATTGAAACGACCATCTAGGTCTTTATCAATGTCTTTTTTGCCTGAGAGAGATTGAGTGCACTTAATATTAATAAATTCATTAGAAATCTATTTATTAAATCATGTCAAACTGATTTAAAATGAGACCAATACAAATATATAAATTTTTATTTTATTTACACATCCAAAAGTTAAATAAAAAGGTTAACATCTTGAACAATTGCCAATAAAATTCATAATATTTATTGTTTCCTAATCAAAATTAAAATTCAAAGTCAAAGTCACCTGTTAAAAATATGTGAAATGTTATACTACAAATATCATAAAAAATTTAATAAACATTAAAATCTTTAGTTTATAAATATTTGTTAACATTTAAATAAAAGAAACTTTTTAACTATTTATACTAATCTGAAATATTAGTTACAAATACAAATTAGTTAAAATTTCTAAATTTTTAATTTAAAAACACATTGTTGCTTTTGTCTAAAAGCTATATTTACCACATCCTGAGGTATCCTCAATTGGCATAAAGTTAAACACCCATTGCGCATCATTGTTTCATCATAATTGTGATAATCCATTCCAGTTAATAATGTGGTTATAATTCGCCGTTTCACTGTGATATCATTTAAGAGTAGAGGCCGATCTTTATTTTTCACAATATAAAATAGGGTGGCACTAAAATAATTAATAGTTAATCAATATAATCAATAAAAAATAATTGATAAATACTAACCTTCCAGAAATTTGAATAAGTTTCTCTTGGACGTATCTAGTAAGTGCTTCTAATACTATATCTAGAGCCTGATCAATTTGTGTACACTGGTCATACCTCAATAAGTGGTAAAGGTCATTCAAAATGTTTTGGAGAAGTTTTGGTTTATCCATACATGATGCAGCAGCATTAAATATTTGTTCTTCATTTGCATCACCACTTATCTATGGGAAAAAAAGTAAATATTAATATATAGACTTATGACATAATTAATGAATATTACTATTTTTGCTGGAATATCATGTCGTCTACAAGCATTGTGCATAGTATGATATAAACCTAAAAATTCTAATGGATTGTCTACTCGATATTCTAAACCAGGAATGTCCGACTTTTTGCCACTTAATGAATCGCATAAAGAATATTCTGCTGTACCTAAATTGAATAAAACACACTTTTCAATGCATTATTATCTAATAGTATACAATAAATATTCGTAAATAACTTATCAAGGTCAAATATATTTAAAGTTTAATTAATAATTAAAATTTTTAAAATTAATTTCTTTACATTTTTAACACTGAAAAGCTCAATTCAATAGAATATTTTATAATTGAATAATTTTTCATTAAAATTATAATACTTAATAGTTGATCATTTTTAATTTTTATCAAATTTTACTTTTTTAATACTACTTAACAATATCTTAAATTAATATTAAAAAAATCTTATTTTATTTTGGAAATTTAAACTAATAGTTTTAAATAAAAAACAATTTATTTGGTTAGGACATGTGATTCATTCAATATCAATTTTAATGAAATGGCTCTAAAGTAGCATTTTTCTGTATCAGCCACAAATGAGATCAGCAAACAAAAAAGTGGGTTTAAGTTAATTTGTGTTTTTTCAAATTTTAAACATTTAAATTGATGGAAAACTCATTTTTAGTTAGCTAATAAATAATAAATCTTCAATTAGACTAAAAAAATAAAAGTTTATAAAATAAAAAAAATATAGAAATAGATCAATTTAAAACTTTTTTAAAAAGTTTTGTTAAAGTTTCAAATATAATTACATACTGAAGTATGTAAGAAATTTGACTAAATTATTTATTTAAGTTTTTTTTTTTTTTTTTTATAAATATATATGTTAATTTTAGAATTATTTTATTAAAATAAAAATATTTGGTTAAAATGTTTTTATATTAAATTTGATATTTTCAAACTATAAATCTTACTCCCTACCTAACTCAAGTAATTTACCTTTACCAGCCAAGTTAGTTCCTGATATATCTAAAGACATAAGATTCGGTAAACATTTGATGATTTGACCCAAAGTTTTATTTTCATCTTTATAAACACCTTGATCAGGAAAAGATTCTGTTTGCGAAATATCTAAAACACTGAAAACACATTTGTAGTGAATTTGTAAGCATAAAATGTACCAAACTTTAAAAAACTTACACAAGGGATTGCAGTGAACATATATGAGGAATAGCTCCATTTTCTTGTAAATTGTGTACATCAAAGAGTATCAATGTGTGTAAGTTGGTAAGTTGACACAAGTTCTGTAAACTTCCAAGATTCAAACAATAAGAGAGATCCAATACTCTAAGTTGCAAAAGTTTGTCAAGCATATCACCTAGAAACGTGTGATCTTTACTGTACGGCATAACAGACGGTTCTATGATAGCTCGTAATACTAAATGTTTTAAATTTGGTGCCTTCTTATCGATGTCTTTCGGAATATCATCTAAAGTCTGTGAACAGTTTGTGAGCTCGTTATTTAGAGGAGTGATTTGAACGTTTGGACCAATGGTTAACGAACGCAGATTAGCAGAGTATTTGAATATATTTGCATATGTCCTGTGCGTGAGATTCTGACAGTTTATAAGTGTGAGTTCATACAAGTTGTGCCGTAACAAGTATTCAAGTCCATTGTCCGTAATACTTGAATTATGTATGTGCACTGATATCAGATTGGTCTTGGTAACATCTTGAAAGAGATGAGCAAAACCATCCAACAACCCATTGATGTTCTGATAAGCTTCAATGAAAGGTTCACATATTTCACTGGGTAAAGCCAGTCCTTCATGCAATGTATAACCTTCAGGTGTCTCTGAACATATTGTGTTCAAATTGCGAGCTACAAATTTTAAGCACAAGCAGAACAGCGATTCGGGAACGCGTTCCTCTTTGTGTCTAAACTTGATTGGAATTCTTTGACGATCGGTTAGGTTCATAGTAAGAAAGCGTTCGCTAACAGTTCGAGCCAGTCGATTAAGAGCTTTACGTGACGGGCAACGTAGACAACTCGAAGTACATGATTCACATTGAGTTAGACGGAAAAAATTGCCCGCTCCGCAGAATGCGTCTAACGTTTAGTATGCCGTCACGTTTCGAGTTGAACTAAACAACAATTGAGATGCGATTTCCACCAACTGAATTGCACTTTGCTCGGGCGGTAAGTTTGATTGACGACGACGACGACGACGATCGGGCTACTGGGGTGAAGTACAATTCGCAAGAGAATTATTTTAAACCATTGTGATGTTGCGATAATACGTTACTACGTCGGTCGAGTAGAAAGGGAAATTGCAAAACTCAACGAAATCGTATATTTTTATACTACTATATGTATTAATAAAACGAGAACGTTCACGAACAATAACAATTTATCAGCTGTTCCGTTATCAGGGGCGCGCGACAGTGGTGCCAGGAGTCGGGACGCGTCACGTCCCGGCCCGGACGACGTTAGCGGAGAGAGACAGGGCTAAGTTTGCCGGGCGCGAGAAAAAGACGGAACGCGTTTCTTTTGTCGCGCACGGTCGTTGTTGGCGCCGAGCACGTCCACGGACTACAGCTGCTGCACTGATAAGCGTTTGAATCGCGTTGAAAAGTCGTTGGAACGCGAACGGCTCGAGCGGAACACCTTGGCCCATATATTGCATTTCCAAAGGTTAGTATAGTCCGTATCAAACACTGTGCGTAATTATAACTTATCGGAAACGCTTTCGCGTAATCGCCGCGGCCGCGCGCGGAAGACGGAACGCGTCCTGTGCCCGGACGACCGATTAAACGTAAATAATGTCTGTCGCACGCGCGCCCCGAACCCCGCCCCCGGTCCGATGGGTCGTAGCGAAACGCGATGCACCAACGGATATTACTTACGAAAATTAATTTTAAATCGATTCTGCTGCAACCCGATAACAACGTACGGAACGATGTCGATAAGGATCGTTTATGCGCGTGGTGTGCTGGAAGACGATACGAATTTCATGATTTTCAAAACGTTAAGATTTATGTCCTCGTCGAAAACCTGTGTCGTGATTCTTCGAAACACGTCTGGTGAAACGAAAAATGTACGTCGGTTGACGATCGGTCGGCTGCGTGACATTATCCTTTTCCGTTGTACCCATCGGAGATAAATAAGACTTAAATAAATTCCTTTGTTTTCGCATGTTCAGACTTGATCTTATTGACTTTTAACGCTCGTAGTTTTTAATTCCAACCCGCTCGTACTTATAAAATATAATAAAGCTCCACGCATTTATTTATTTATATTTTAATTTTTGTTTTTATTAGTATTAGCATGCGATCTATGAGGATTGTTTCATCTTATGTGTCTACCAGTCTTGTAAAGAATACTTTAATTTTGTATTCAGAATACGTATTCGAATAATTTAAAAAAAATGTTTTCAGAATATATATTCGAATACTTTAAAATGTATTCGAGTACTTAAAGTATTCGAATACTTAAAAAATATTTTTTTTTGCCAATTTATGTTAATTTTGGAATAGTTTGGAAGTTAATGTTTGATGGCAAATTTTACTATTTAATGCATAAAGTAAATGAAAAAATAAATACTAAATATTACATATTTTATATCAGTTAATATTTAATATACCAAATATTCAAATATAGTTATTATTGAATTGTGAATACCAATTGTATTAAAAAATGCACGTTTTCATTTAAATTCCTCTTGATTTTAATATTTTTATTAATAAAATATTAAAATACACCACACATTATATTAAGTAAATACATACAGACTACAGTACACCATAATTCCAATGTAATCTTTTATATACCTACATAATTTAAAAATAATCATATTCATTATTCATTTATATTTCCACTGAAATGACTGAAGAGAAAAACTATTGTTCGTAATTTATTATATACTATATAAAATTTAAAAATTGCAGTTTTGTCCCAAATTTAAAACAATTTTATAAGTTCAGATAAAAGTATTTTTATAATGAATAAAAAATACAAAAAAAAGTATTCAGAATTCATATTTGAATACTTTTTATGAAAAGTATTTAAAATAGTATTCGAATACATTTATTCGAATACTTTACAAGACTGGTGTCTACCGTTTGAAGGGTATGATGAAATGCATTTCCGTCACATAATATTTATCGACTTTACCGAATTTCAACGTTTAAAATAGTGTCGTTACCAATGAAATACTGTCATCATTGACACTTGGTATCTAATAGATCTTTGAATCGTGCAATATTGCATCAACAGCGATGTCGGGTTATCCCGGTATTATATTGTTGCATGTATTAATTATAAATACCAGTACTTATGTTACTAGTATTTATAATCAACGATATTAGTAACGAAAAAAACAGGTATTTTATCGAATTCTATTGTATACGAGTTTATTGATTTTAGTAGGGGTTGTTGTAGTCGAACATTTTAGAACTGCAGCCGTTGTAAGTTCAACATAAGTTCGTAGCGTCAATTTCTGAATAAATATGGAGTTTATAACAAGTCTAAACCATTAATACTTATAGATGGATATAATATTGTTTAAATGAAATGCTATGGAATGATATCCGTCGTTGTAGCTGCAGTAAGAGTAGTTGGTAAGTGTTTAATACTCAATTCCAGTAAGCAATGAAATTGCAAAAAGGAATATCAATCATAACCATGACAAAGTCGAGGAAAATATTATTAGGCGGCAAACGTTGAGTAATTGTTTAAAGAGGAAAGCTGTGGAAGTTGTTTTTGCAAAACCTTCAAAATTAATTATATTTGAACTAGTTATATTGATTATTATATTACCGTGCAGTTGTGGCTACCCTATACTCAAGTGTATCGACGGGTGCACATGATTTTGGTGGGTGAGAGGGTAGGTGCTTGCAGTGTGTTCGAACGGCTGTACATAATATCTACACATACAACATTTTATAAAAATGTTATTTCCATATTACAAAAAATTACCTACTCTTGTTGATGGGCGAGTGTCCATTTTAGTAATTTAGGTACACGTGGTAAATTTACTGTAGCCGCTGTTATTCAAGCATGATTCAAAGGGTGTGGGTGAATTGCGGCTCGGCGTGTCGTTTCCGGTGTTGGAGACCGGTGAATTCCGGCCCGATAATATTTTAGCCGTAGGTTAGTTGCGGCCCGACAATATTTTAGCTATAGGTGAGTTGCGGCCCGAATAATTATCATTACCTATGTACCTATTGGCTAGTAACTATATGTACGATGTGGTGTTGGCATTTAGTGATAAACAAATTGTTCAATACGTATGGCAAATTTTATCTTTATATAATTTTATATAATATAGATCGTTTTATTGTATTATCTATTGTAATAATATAATATGTATATATAATAATTTATAATTATTATATATTATATTCTGGAAACGCAAAATATTATTATATTTATTAGCTTATTTTTCACACATTTTCTTTTTATTATATGTTAACCAAAACAATAGCTAAAAAATGAAATTACTATTATTATTATTATTAATTTACGATTATTTTTTTTTCATTTATATTCTTGAAATGACAAATATTAATAATATACGACAGTATTAGAAAATACGTAGTATTAATAAATTTATATTGTGATGTTTATATACATGTACTATGTATAGTTTATATTATATATGTAGTATATAGATTATTGCATGGGTCGCAACTCGTAAGCACCTTTCATAAACCCGGGCCGCAACTTTTACGTGCCTCTTATACACCCGAGCCGCAACTCGTAAGTTATTTAGGGTTTGGACCGCAACTCATCAACACCGGATTCAAAATATGAAAACGCTTAAAAAAATTGTTGTTGGGTGACTCCTCGTGTCGTGGTCAATCTCAATAAAAATACGCTAAGTCAATCAAGAATAACATATAATTTTTATTCGATTATTATTTACTCGTATGGATTATATTTATTAGGCTTATTTACAATTTATATATAAATTACAAATTTACACGCCAAAAAATCAAATTTTCATAAAGATAATAATAATAATAATAATAATATAGATAATAATAATAATAATAACAAGTTTCGATTCAAATATCCGATCTATCCAAATAAGATACACTATATATTTAAGACCATTGTGTATGTATAAAACGTCGAAGATTTGCGCATTATTATTACAAATACATTATTTAATATGAGATAATGCAAAAACAACTATACATATTATATATAATAATAATACTACGTGAGATGCTGTTTTAGTGATAGTAAAAAGACACTTAAAACTAATAAAATTATTTAATTTCATTTAGATAACAATAAAATATTTTCGGTGGTTTTGGGGAATATATGAGTAAAGTTTGCTTATAGGAATACTTTATACATTACATAAATATATATATATATAAATTTGTGTATGGGTAACGGACGGCTGAAAAAAAGCATTATTTTTGTTTTATTTATCTATTCGACTCGGAGAAAACTATCGAATACAACCAATGATTTACAAATAAACTACATCTAAAATATTAAAAGGTACACAAAATTTCAGAAATCCTCCGTACATAAAGTAATAAAGTTTCTGCAAACTTATAGAACAAAAACAAAATCGTTTTACCCATAAACACAAAATTGTGATGTTATATTACAGTATGGTTTATGATAAAACTAATAAGTAGTTTTTGATTTTTTAAAACATGTTCTCTAATATTTCTCTACGTACTACTATTGAAAAACGTGATCGTCTAACTATATTAAAGTGTACGCGTATTATTTAGGTACCTACATGTATTTATATAGTATATTATTATGTATGCATGGATAGTTTAAAAAAAAGTATAATATCCGACTAAAAGTAAAAAGTTTTCCGTAGAAAAGCGCACGAAAATGACTTTTCCTTGAGCTTAACCAAAAAAAAAAAAAATGGTAACTATGTATACATCAACATAAGGACCGGTGGGGACGCGATGGAACACTAGTATGTATTTTTTTCGTTCTTCGATTCCGGCAGCTTTCACGGGCCGAGTTGAACCACCAGTCAACTGTTTCGCGGCGGACGGGCGCGAATCACGCGTATTACGGTAAACATTATAATAAAAAAGTTTGCTCTCATCTACTAATCATGAAAGTGTTAAAGATGGCGTTGCGTCCGGTGGCGTCACGATGTCGTTTTTTCTAGCCTATTGTTCCCAACAACTTTTGAGTGGGTTCAGTGTTGGTTGATAGTGGATAGATTTTAGAAAATGGTGGGAACTATTTGCATAGTACAGGCCACGGTAGCCAGACAATGGTTTAATGTCTACATGCGGAGTATATTATTGACTTCGGTTTATATTACACGTGCAGGTAAATGGACCTTGTGCTGTGCGATTCCTGTTCAATAAAGCGTTAGTTAAAATGTAAATATATGATAAATGATAACAGTCTAAGAGATAAATATAACACCACGGATGGGTAGTGTTGTAGTTATAGCCTTGGGGTTTTTGGACTAGTTGCGATCCAAAAATTTCGTGACGCCACTGGTTATATTCAATTTCGGTTTTATTTCTATTGCAACTCTTGTGTCGTCAAATTCGGGATATTATTATTACGTTTTCCGTGACCACTAAAACCGTTATGACTGCAGTAACCGATCGTGTATAGTTCCCTGTCTAATAATGTTCTTTCTACATTTACGCGACGGATGGAAAACATACCAAAGCGTGCGCCGGAAATCAAACCTTAACCCAAATTATTACAATTATATATCACAGTGAAAATAATATTTAAAAACACGTTGCTTCTCGTTTAAGACGGTTTCGGTCCTCATCAGGCCACTCTCGCGCACTCTCGCGACATACACATCAATAGGGCGGCGGCGGCGGTGGTGGTGGACGGTTGTCGATACCACCGCGGTCTTCGTCTCATACCGGATCGCTGTTTCTGCCCACTGAACACATCATGATGGAGTCCTGAGACAGGTCATCGAGCGACGATGTTTCAGAGGCTGCAGCATAATCAAAAAAAAAAAAAAAAAACATTTAAGGTTTATTTTTTATTACTATTATTGCTATTGTTTTACGTATCATAAAAGATATGTTTTTGATATATCAAGTAAAAAAAATGAATTAGGTAATGTAGTTTGAATCGAGAATCGAAGATAAGGAGTATGATGGAGTTGACAGAAGAATAAAATCAATTTGGAAATAGTGTAAGTGAGAAACAATATTTTGCACATGTGGATGGATGGATAAATATAAAACATACTCGCAGGGGTGGATCCAGACCAAGATGATAAGAGGAATTTTAATAATGTAAAAAACATAGACTTTAGATAAAACGTTACCGAGTTCTAATTAATTTTAAATATATTTTAAAATATGGTTGGTAGGTATGCCTAAAACGTTTAAAAAGGACTGAATTCCAATGGGTTATTTTTGATAGTAGTGAAGGGGAATCAAGGAAGGCTGATTACGCTCCTGAATACGGTTCTGTATGATAGTACATTATTTTATGTATTGTTATTTACCTGGGTTCTGAGGAATGTAAATAGGAGATCCTCTTTGGTGTGAATGGTTCGACGATGGCGGCTGTTGAAATGAATACGTTAGGTGTAGGTTTATGTGTCGATTGAAATGGTTTTCGGAACTGTTTTGATGGTGAACTGCAACAAGATTTATGTTTTTTATTAATCTGTGTGTAATATTTGTTTTAAGGTTACACAAAGTAACTGCCGATAATTGTTAGTTTTCAAAAACTACGAATATTTTATTCGATAACATTTTTATAATTTTAAAAATCATTTTTTTTTTTACTATGAAAGTTGAGAGTAAATTAAATTGTATTTAATTTAAAATGTTTGATTTTCAACTCGCAAAACAAAGCACGACTTAGTTATCGATTGTTTGATTTCACCTAGTAAACCCTTTATCATAACTAAATCGTAATGGAGACTTTAATGTCAATATGACAAAAAAATATCCGTTTGCAATGTCGATTATTAGTCGAAATCGAAATCATCTGTTAATCCTAATCTAATTTAACGTAAATAATTAACTATAGTATTATAAACGTACTCAATCAGTTCTTTAATGAGGTTTAAACATAGTACGTATTATAATTAAATATTTTAATATTAAGTTTTAATTTGAAAATAACTTCTATGTATATTGTATACATACGTAATCCGGATGGAGTGCTTTTCACTTTTCCTGTATGTAAGTGTTTTTTCTGCCTTGCCCTGGAGTTTTGAAACCATACTTGAGTTACTCTTTTACTTAGTCCGGTGATTTGTGCTATCCTTTCTAAATCCTGACCGTCGGGATTAGAATCCAATTGAAAATTGGCTTGTAACACCTGCAATTGTTCTTCTGTGAATGTAGTCCGAACTCGTTTTGCTTTATTCTTGCTATGATAACTTTCTGAATCTCCACCCTCTGAATGAAAAACAATCGTTATTGGATAAGTATTTTTTACATTTTTTTTTTTTTTTTTTTTGTATAAATCGAAAATTAAAGTAAAGGGATGTTATTACAAGCGTATTCGTATATTATTATGACTGAAAATTATTTTTCAGTATATTATACTGTTACGTTTTGTTATATCTATGTAGAGATATTAATATGACCGAGTGATTCGCGGGATCAAAGCCGGATTAAGATCATTTCAACTGTCGCCGCAGTGTATTTACCCTCTGTGATTGAAGTATAAACTGTAATTACAGAGGAGAATTTAACCCTTTTGAACGCGATTCGACCGGATATTCAAGGTGCTTTATACAATAATTATGATGGTTCAATCTCACGGCCGTGATTTGAATAACCAACGACGCAATAAAATATGTATGTATATTATAATATTCATATACTATTGTTTAGTCAAACACAAGTGCGTGCTCATAAATTTGTGTTCAAAAATTAACTATATCATATAGTATGACGGTGTGACAAAATTATTTTTATTTTTGGCAAAACGATAATATATTGTAAATGTTATGTGGATTTCTTGAAATTGCCGATTCTATGAAATCAGTAAGGCCAATAAGTATATCATTAAACTAGCATGCACATCACTAGTGAGAAAATATTGAAGACTTAGCGCGGTAAAGTTATGAAAGGAAAAAAACGCATCGATAAAGTTTTCGACGTAAAAGAATACACTCTCGGCGAAAAGAAATGCGTTTCACGCGTTGATTTCGAAAAATCAAGTTGTATTCGTCAATCAATTACACCAACAGTAGTTCTAGACAACGGCGCGGACGTGTATTGCAGTTATCCCGTACACGTGTACGTCTAACTGTAGACATATAGTGGTAACAACCCGTTATTATCACGTCACGAGGGACAGTGCACGGAAAGACGGCGGCGTCGGCCAATCGAATTAACCCGGTTTTCCGGGGTCCGCGTTTATAGTATTGTGTATAAAAATATAGACCGCTTTCAGCGGAATATATAGTGATGATGACATCATGTTACGGGTGGAAGCGAGTTGCGTGAGTATAAATGCGGGGTGGCATTATTCCGTTTGTCTTTTTTTTTTTTTTTTTTTTTACCGTCGAAACTCTATATTCGATTATCGCGGGCAAATTCGATTTAGCGCGGCGATTTCACGGTTGATGGATAAACAATAGAACTACCCCTGCAACAGCATCTATTTAACGTGCCACGCGCACGCGCCCTTAACGCAAGCACACGAAGTTGACCTAATTATAATGGACGCGGGACGCGGGGTCACTGTGTTTACCGAAAGGGTCGCGGGCCCTTGAACAAACGTGTCGCTAAGACGTCACTATTGTATATGTAAATATACTTATGATACTGTAGTTGGGCGAATCATAATATTCAAATGCGTGCCCGGTGTAAATTCGTATACCAAACCTAATTGAATTTTATAACATTCGTACTATAATCACGTATGTTATAAATCCGGGTTTTGGATTTTTCATAACCATTGAATTTTAAATACCTAGCCAAACCTAGTAAATATATCAAACATGTTTGTGTAGTGTATACTTTGGTTTTCAACATGTCCTTCTCCCCGGGACCAATCAAATCAAAGATACCCAGACAACGCGGGTATGTACGGGGATAAGTCGTATTGTTTGTCTTTTGATCGCTCATCATTTAATATTACAGATCATGGTCTGGGGTTTCGTCGGCGTTTACAAGTTGGGTCCCAGTGTTTTTCAGATAGTACACTAATTGAATTCCACAATTTTACAAGTACTACTCTAGTTGAGTCCATACTAAAAAAAAAAATGTCGCTTCTCGTTTTTACAGACTTAAGACGTCAGTTATCAATAAATTAGAACACAGATATGGTTTTTTTTCTTAAAGTTTATAATACATGGTATATAATTATTAATCGAAAATTAAAATACTGGTATATGGTAAATAAATAAATTAAATGATTAAAAAAGTTAAAAGTTTACACAATTGGTAAATAATTTAAATAATAGAGCTTTTACAAATTAAAATATATTAATTTTATAATATTATGAAGTGTATCAATACATGTGAGGTACAGGTTTTATACTCATAGTGGTTGGACTGAACTATAGGTAGCATAGTATAGTATAGTATAGTATGTTATGATTTTTATAGTCGGACCGAACTCGCATGCTATTTTTTTTATAATCGGATCCAATTAGTCGTTTACCTTTATCATAAATATTATCTGGGACCCGACTCGAATACGCCTGGTATCATTTTTACATTTTTAAGAGTGGACTGTACCTGATGAACTGGTAGTGCCACCGTCGACGATATCCAAATAATGTGGTTTACATAAAACGCGACCTTCGTGTAAAGCAAACTCCTCTCCGGTATTCAGTTGTCGATCGCAAGCGTCACATCGGAAGCAAGCCAGATGATACACGTGGTCCCGGGCTTTCCGCACCCAATGCGACGAGGATATGCCTTTCGAACATTTTGAGCACACTGTACCGAAACTCCTGAAACAATTTTCAGCCTTTAATAATTATATTATTACTACAATGGCGTTTTCTTATTTTGAAAAACTAAAATTTTGATATTTTAAGCTCAATTTATTAGGTATTAAATTTATCTCTAAATTATACCATTTAAATGTGAAAAAAAAACAATTTTTTTTACAAAAATATGTATAGTTATTTTCTATAATGTAAATATAGGTTATATATATGGTGGAAAAACAAATAATTATAATCGGGACCGTATTTAAAAATTTTGAGCCCTAACCTAACACTTATTATTTCGTCCATAATCGAAATTTTTTAATATTAAAATCTAACTTATAAATGAAAATTGTTTGATATTTTTTTTTAATTAACAAATTAAACAAATTATAACATGATAAAATATACTATTTTCTTTTATTTATTGTCTTATTTTTTTTTTTCATTAAAGTACATAATTTTTAAAATAAATTTTGCTAAAATATTTTACCACCCCCAAGCATATGCCTACTTGTGCCCTCCCAACATAAATACAAGCCTGATTATAATAGACACAGAGTTATACTCATATAGAGTGTATTATAGCAACAAAGCATTTAACAATCCGTAGTCGGACTGTTAATACTTATTTATTCAAACGAATTAATAGAGGCACATAACAACAAGCTATATGTGAAAATTGTTAAAAAAAAATTTGTGATTTAAACCACCCCCGCCTTTGTTTCTAGCTTTTAATTCGTAATGTATACGCTTACAATCACTGGCGTATATAGGTTTTCATTTCGGAGGGGGCCGATTATGTATTTGATTTTTGGGTGGAAAGGAAGGAGGAAGCACACTATTACGAAATAAATTACTTTTACACTATAAGACTTCTTGACAGTCTTTACACCATCAGAAAAATAAGAAACTCAATTTTTTTAATGATTTATTATTTTTTTAAAGTATAAAAACTACATTATAATAAACAAATTTTTTATTAGAGTCACTCAAAATTCACCACATATTTTCTTAAAAGAATAAACATATTTTATAAATATAAAATTTTAAATTATCGCATAAGCAACATTCTCAGTGTCGCGAAAAATGTTCGTAAACCCCCAGCATTAAGACATATCCATGTTAAAAATAACAATCTTTAACAATGGTGTTTTTCATTTCGGAGGGGGCCCGGGTCCCCTCGCCCCCCCCATAAATACGCCCCTGCTTATAACCCATCTTAGAATATTTATTTTATTTTTTGTCGTTGTAGTATTACAAATTATTATCGCGAATTAAACGCTAGAAACAAAGGCGGGGGTGGTTTAAATTAGGAATATTTTTAACAATTTTCGATTCCCCGTGGACGAGAGGACGGCATCCATACGTTTTGGACCCATTTACGAATTCGACATTTCGTACGCGCGTCAGCTGCAGCGTTAATTGCACAAAGGCTGCAACGCTGAACGCGTTACACGAACGGCAGGCGTTATACGCGTTGACGGATAGCTCAGTCCGGACGATTTTACCCGAATACATTTATGTGCACTCGTATACGTGCTTTAATTGTGTACGTAATGGAACGAACGTATTGTTTATTCGTGGCAAATACGCGCGACCAGTGTGCGGTACAATCACGACATCCCGTCATTCCGACCGAACGCAAAGGCCGGGCAGCGCGCGCGGTTACGCGGGTAAAACGCGTCGCGCCGAGCGCGCATCGCCTGTGTTTTTAGCAGTGAATAATGTACACCGAACAGCGGAATACATTCTCACCGGACCACCGTGCGTTAAATCGAACGGGTAACACCCGGCCAGGTATACAGCGCATGCATACTAAACGCGGAGTCTGTACACACGCGCGAATGCGTGTATATGTGTGCACGCGTACGTACGTATTGCGCTGCACAATGCAGTATCGGTGCACGTACTTGTATATGTGTATGCGTATAAAAGGGATGGACACAACACGTGTGAATTGTTCACACCGTATGCAAATGAACCGTCCTCGGTGTGCGTGTGCGCGCGTTTATACTATATTCAGCTCCTGTGTGTTCGAGAAAGCCGACCCGGTGGATATGTATACAGATCCACTGCGTGTACATGTTATAATATATAAGGTAGCCGCTGTCGGAATGTTAATTATTATTGTTGACGTACGGTTTTTTAAACGCATTTTTCACCCATTACTATTCATTTATATATGCATTATGTTCCCGAATTATTTAAAAAAAATAAAAATAAAAAAATAGTAAACTACGGCAACCAAAAGCGTACGCTTTTTGTGTTGTAAGTACCTGTATACGTAGCTATTCGTCGTATCAAATGCATGGTATATGCATGTAAATTACGTGTACGTAAAAATATTTGGATACTTGTACACGCGTACATATGGGTCCGTATGAATCGTGTCGATAAATTACGTTGTCGTTCAGGTTTTATCAATGACGGTTTACGGGCGTATGCAGGTGAAGAGGACGTGCGAATCAAAAAGGGTGAGACTCGTAGATGCAAGAAAACTGTCAGGTTATTCGTAAAATTAATTTTTTCGAGGTACAAACTAGATAATATCTTCAATCAGAAATCTCTTATCACTGCGATGATCGGTGCACTCCTTCGATATCGTGTTCCTTCGCGCAAATTATAAGATACACACTGTACTGCTGAACAGGAAACTTTCTTTAAAACTGAAAGTCGTTTTTATTCCCATGCGCGATTCAGTCTTAAATAGTTTTATTGTTCTGAATTAATATCAGTATCTAAAATATAATGAAATATCATTCTACAAATATGTGAAATAAATATAAATATAATAATGTTAATATATATAAATGTATATTATTTTGCTTATCGGTTACCTTATATGGTAGTTTATACATTAGTTGTATACGAATAATAGTTTTTAAACTATCGAACACTCAAATAGTGATAATCGCTAATTCCTTCATCCTATTAATTTTGGTCAGTAAATATTATTTTTGCACGTTATATATTTCGGTATAAGGCTTTGTGCATATTAAAATATACGTTATTCATCCAAGGGTTGAGCGGTAAGTGAGAACATTTGCATATAATATACTTTTTATATTAATATAAATAATATATATAAATTACGCCGTGTAAGGGTAATAATACAAAAGTAGAAAAACGTTCGGTGGTTCCAAATAACATCATCTCGCGGCAATGTTATTTATACATTATATTAATTGTTTTTAAAGTTTTTAAACCATTCGGAATCGTTAAACCAAAATTTCATCCTTGGCGCATTGGGTGTGACCGGAAAAGGTGAGTAACAAAAACGTTATAGGACTGCAATGAATATTTGAAAAAATTAAGTAAAACGTACCTATACAGTTAAAAAAAAAAGTTATGTTTTTTTCTCACCGTACCTTAAATATTATTCATACGTTTATTTCACTAATAGATTTTATTACTGTTAATATTATACTACATGAAATCAAATACCATTTATATTCCTACCTGTATAGTTGTTGTTTGAATATTGTTTTAAAATTATTTCAATATAGAATATCTTATTAAAGTTAATGATTCTCATCATGGTCATGATATACGGTGATATATACATAATATAAAGTTATGAATACATTTTCGATTTTCGGAATTAATAAAAAATTAAAATCGACCTACGACAGCGTGTGCATTCGTCTACGTTTCGTGGGCATGGCCATAATACAACCGAAGTAACAAGTGTCTGGGTTATTTTGTTTAAAAACTTTTATATAAATAGTCAATAAATTATTCTATGCATTAATTATATTTAAAAACCGAAGTAGATTGTATTATAATTATCTTATGAACCTCTTATGCATAAGATACCATAAAGGTATGCTCTAAAATTCTTAGGTATATAGTATACGATTTGTCCAATTCAACTGAAATCTTAGAAGTTATTATGTACACAATTTGTTTCGTATTAACGTAACTTGGACAACAATTTATCCGAGGAAACTAAAATATGTATTCGAAAGCACATTATGTATTATGTGTTTGTGTAAAGGAATTAAATAAAATAGAGGGAGTAGTTGGTTGTAAGATGTCTGGACTATATAATAAAAGCAATCTTTTTAAGTAAAGTTTTTGTGAAAAAAGTAAATAAAAGTTTTCACTATCTACATCCGAGAAATGTTTTTTTGTCCTTATACATTATGTAAATAACGGGAGGAAACAAACCTTACAATTGAAAAAAAAGAGCAGCTCAATGAGGAAAAAAAGAGAACGGGCATGTATATATGCGGTATATATATATATATATATATATATATATATATATATATATATTGGGGGTAGAATCGTAGTAGAAAAGTTTCATCCGGTTGAGCGCGTGTGCGGGCGTGCAAAGACAGCTAATCCAATTGGTCGTCCAATCAGCTTCAGCGAAGGCTACCCCACCCTCGTCTACTCTATGTATCCCGTCGTCACTTCAGTTACGATGACAAACTTATAGGAAGGGAACGATAGGAGAACAGCTTGTCACAGAAATGTGGGTAAACGCGTGCGTCCGTCTATACGAAAATATCACGTTGCGTATTTGCTTAAAAATATTATACAGTGGTACACATGTTCCATAAAACGTATAATGTACATAAACGCAGACGAGAGGAGTGAACTTAATATGCTTAATATGGTCGTTCAGCAATTTTGTAGTAGGACCGAGCAAAACATCGGTAAAACGTACCTTTTAAGATATTCATATTTAAAAACTCTATGACAATAAATCACACTAGCAACATAGCAGTTGAGATGTATTTTAATCCCAGCATACCGATCGATCTATCGACGTGATAAGGGATCGGAAAATCGTTTTAAATTATTTTTGATCGATTCTCCTAGATGTTTTAAATTAAATACTGGAAAAATCTAAAAAATAACTATTTTTGATATTTTGGCTACTAATGTGTTCAATTTTGTTTTGTGGAGTTTAGGGAAATCAAATCAAAAAAGTAGAAAAGTCGATCTAAAGTAGACTGCAAGTCTGTTGTTATATTTCTTATCAGAAACCACTGCTTCCGATCCCCTTA